CCCGCCGCCGCCGCCAAATAGCGCGCCTGCCATGGTGCTGAGCATCGGCTGCATCGACGGGTCGCTGGCGATCTGGCCGGCCATCTGCATCAGGCCGCCCATGCCCGCGCCCCCGCCGCCGCCGGCGCCGCCGCCGGCCCCTCCCATCATCATCTGCATAAGGGCCCCCAGGTCGCCCCCGCTGCCCCCGCTGCCGCCGCCACCACCTGGGGGCCGGGCTAGCGCGCCGCTGCCACCACCACCGCCGCCGCTGGTGCCCGTCATCATCTGCAGGAGAGCTCCCAAGTCACCGCCGCCACCCGGCAGGGCCACCGCGCCACCGCTGCTGCCGCCACCACCAGTGGGCAGCGAAGGGGCGCCGCCGCCGCCACTGCTGCCGCCTGCCAGCCTCTGCACACCCGCTGGCGCGCCGCCTGCGCTCGCTGCTGGCCGCTGTGGTTGCGCCTTTGACCTCTGCCGTGGCGGCAGCACCGGCGCTGCGGGGCGCGTCGGAGCGGCGGCGGCGGCGGCAGCGGCAGTGGCGCCACCGCTGACATCAGCATCGCCTTCCTCCGCCTCTTCCAGGACAGGTTCGGGCTCGGCACCGCTGAGGCTCATCCCAGCAGAGCTGGCGCGTCCTGAACCAGGGAACCTGATGTCAGGGTGACATCAGCACAAAGCGAGATCACAGTCCAAGGTGATGCGTGCGGCGGCGGTAGGGGGGCGTGGCATGCAAGTGTGGGTTGCCCAAAGGCCAATGGGGGGGGGGGGGCAACACAGTGCTTTTGCAAACTGGTGGATTAACAGGACGGCAGCGGGAGCCCACCCCCGTCAAGCACAGGCGGCGGCTGTGCTTGACTGGCGTGCGAGGTGCTAGACCAGGCTGCGTGCGCGCACTGCTGCGTTGCCGCGCACCTCAATACTGCTGGCGTGGCGGTTCGGTTGAAGGAGCGACGGCCAAGGGGTGCTTCGTCGCCGACCGCAGGGGCGGCGCCAACACCACCGCTGGTCCCTCCGCCGCCGCCGCCGGCGACGCCACCTGCGCTGGCCTCGGCGGTGCCGCCACCGGTCTTGGGGCCGGGGCCGGTGGCGCTGGGGACGGGCTTGCGTTTTACAACCACCAAGCTTGGGCCGCGCCCGCCGCCAGCTGTGTGGACAGAGAGGGGCGCGTGAAGGGGCTGTGAAGACTGGGCGCGGCCTGGTGTCGCTATGGCATGCTTGTCATGACTTCCAGCCAACGGGCACTTGCCGGTGACTGCCCGATGCAACAAATATTCTGTTGCTGGGCGATTGGCCTGAGGGTGCAGCTTGTTGGGCAGCAAGCCACCAAATCATCCGGCTGGCAGCAGACTGGTGTGTGCCGGCGCCACAACCACTCACGCGACGCACCTGCAGCGCCGCGCGGCCCCGCTGCGACTGCGTAAACGAGGCCGTCAGGCTGCCCCTCAGCAGCCGCAGCAGCCGCAAGCAGCGCACGAGAGAGTTCAGACGTGAGCGCCGCCGCCGCGCCCAGCTGTTCCCCTGCATCCCGCAGCAGGACCTTCAATGCGGGGGCGTCACGTGCAAAGCGGTGGTGTTGGCAGGGCGCCGCATGCCGGGGCAGCCAGCAGCCAGCATGCAGGCATGGGCCAGGAGTCACTGTGCATCATTGGCCCTCCCACGTTGCCCGTAGAACCTTGGCCCCCGTATTTGCTCAGCGCACCGCTGAAGGCACGCCGCCACCCTGGCTGGTCGCCGCCAGGCGTGGCACGAGGGATCCGCCGAGGTACTCGGTGGCCCGCCGCAGCAGCGCCACAGCGGCCGCCACCGCCAGGCGGGTGTGGGGATAGGGGGCTGCGGGGTTGGCGGGCACAGGGCACAGGGCAAGCACAAGCCCAGGGGCCCAAGCAGCAAGTCTGAGGGGGTTTGTGAGTGCTACAGCAAGGTTTTCGTGTTGAAAGTTTGGCCACAGCTTGCATGAGGGTCAGACAGCTCCAATAAAACGTTGATGACATCAGCATGTTGTCAGTTTTGGTTGTTGCGGTTCGATTTTGTCATCACACCCCCTCATCAATGGTGGGTTGCAGCAGGATTGCTCTAGCTCCATCCTCGGATGAGTCACACGCAGCGCGGCCGCACTAAGCGGCCGCGCCAAGCTGGCCTGGTTTGACACCCGTGTGCCTGCAGTGAAGACCAAGCCTGCAGTGAAGACCAATGCGTAAAGCGAGCTATACGCACCCGGCGCCGCGACGTCAGTTGCCTTGGCCGATGGCTCTAAAGCAAGCCTCCCGATCTCGTCTGCCTCCGCCAGACCTGCCGCCGCGCCACCAGACAAGACCACGCGCACAGCAGCGCTGACGGCCGTCTGCTGCTCGTGCCAGCGCTTCGCATCAGCGCATGCCGCATGTGCGACGTGGGGCGATAACGCAGAGGATGCGCCAGAGGGCGTCTGCAGACGGTCGAGTTGCTCTGAGATTGCCAGCAGCAGCGGCGGCTGCAGCTGCTGCGGCGCTGCCGAACCGCCGCCGATCGCTGTGATTCAGCAAGGATGGTGTTGAGGGTGAGGAGCCATGCGTGTTTTCCCGCATTGAGGCACAACAGGAGCTGGCAGCAGTTCACATGCACCTCGTGCCGGCGGGGGGCAAAGCGCATCGAGGATGGGGGCGCAGGCTGCAAGCAGGGTCCCAGCCAAGTGCAAACAATCAAGTGCTTGCCTAGCTCTTGGGAGTTCATGACACGCGGCGATCCAGGACCTCTTGCGACTGCTTGCGGGCAACCCCGCTCAGCAGTGCCTTGCAGCGGTCAATCCCTTGCTTGTGGCCAGTGTGAGCGGCAAGGTCAAAGGCGACACGCTCACAACGCCGTGCCGGGCTAGATCACTGCAGGCGTGTGCGTTATTACGCGTGTGTGATCACTGGAAGAAAGCATCTGACATGTGCAGCGCTTGTTATAATTCAACATCAACGAGAGTTGCTTATGCCAGCCGGCCAAAACTGCGCGGTCAACCGCACGGGTGGCGCCGGCCATCGACCCGCCCATGCAATCCATCAGCCTGTCCATGCACTCAACACAGGCTGCGAGAGAGGAACAGGCTGCGAGTAAGGCAAGGAATTTTTGCCGATACTCACATCCCCTGCCGTGTGCATGCCTCTTGTATCATGCCCAACTTGACATGAGCCCCTTGCATTGCCCAAACCTCAATGACACCAGCCAAAAACACGCCCCAGGGTGTGTGCAGGGATCGGCATGATGCGTCCCTGGGCCAGTGCAGATGTGCTAAGTAATCAGCAGTCGCAGACATGTAAGGAGTGCACATAGTTTATGAAAAGGCGTGTACGGCTGCCTGATTGAGGTTTTATGAGCTTTGTGTTTGAATGCTGAAGGTACAAGATAAGCTATGAAGCTAGGGGTGCAATCAAGTTTACATGTGAATGCATTTGTGCATCTGCGTTATTGCATGCATGTTACATGGTATTCTGTTTCGCTATGAACTCACTGCTGCTTGCATACATGCATGGGGATGCACACGCGTGTGACATGCACACACATGGACAAATGCGCGCACCCCCCACCCCACTTGCGCACGCACACGCGCACAGACGTGCAGGCGCGCACACACAGACACACACAAGCACACACGCACGCACTCGCGGCATGCACGCACGCACGCGCTCGCATGCACACACACACACACACACACACACGCTCACGCAGTCACACACACACACCCACCGCAAACACATTGCAAACACATTCTTACACCTCCTCCCACGTGTGCGCACAATCAATCGGTGTGCCCGCAGTCGCTCTACTTATTTTCTCAATCCGCCGGCCATAGGAGATCTGCAGCACCTCGGCACTTGTACTGTCCAGGCCAGCTGAGGCAATGCTGCGTTGGTGACAGCAGGTGCGCCGTCAATGATAGCAGGTGCACTGACAGGGATAGCAGCTCGACTATCCTTGAATGTTGTAGACAGTGCAATACATCCACACCATCCCACTCAGCAGCAAGAGAGCACCAAACAGCTCTATCTGGGATGGCATCGGAAAGCTTTATCTGAAATTAGGGTTTACCTATGCAACAACGCAGGCTCTCCTTGTCATTCATACTGTTTCTCTGAGTTTCCCACCGGGCTGTGCGTGTGTGTGTGCGTGCATGAGTGCTATCTGCGTGTGGGTGTGCCTGTGCGTGGGCGCAAGTGTGTGTCAACTCATTAATCTGCCAATACCCGGCCATGTTCGGGGTTGGTGAGCCCTGGTCACCATATGCAACCAGTGAGCTGGTCCCACCTGGATCACCTACCGTACTGCGTACCTGCCCGGTCATAGTGCGGTGGGGTTGCAGCACACGCCATTCACTGTATCACATCGTGCTTGTGCCGCTCATGTGTGTGTTGCCATCACATGTACAGTACAAACACCTCTACTGTACTGTACGGTAGTGTGTCCTGATCTAGAGCTTTTGCACCCCGTGCGCTTGCAACCATAGTCTGTGCCGTCTTTGTATCTGATGTTTTTAGCATCTCAGGGCTCAGTTTGGCGAACATAGCTGTGATCTGACGCTGCACAAACACGTAGGCTAGGCCGCGCTAGCCGCTGGCAGCAACGTGCCACCATGGCGCGCAATCAGGAGAAGGCGCAGTCGATGCTCAACCGCTTCCTTGCCGGCAAGGAGGCAGAAAAGCGTGGGCCAAAGCAGCGGCGGCCATATTTAGCCAGCGAGGTGACAGACCTGAATGAGGCGGACAAATGGCGGCAGCAGATCCTGCGAGAAATCGGGAAGAAGGTCATGGAAATCCAGAACACAGGGCTGGGGGAGCACAGGTGCGCTGAGTGCATCGTGGCGGAGCGGGGAGGCGTGCAGCTTTTTGCGCCTGCTGATTCGCATGGGCGCGCTGGTGTGCGCGCCGCGCTGTCTGCCTTGCCGGGCTTGGTTGCAGTCAGGCACCGCAATGTGCGCTGGCGTCTGCCCAGAGCGCAGGAGTGGCGCCGACTCGCGCTGTGCAAGGCGCTACGCCACTGTGCTGCATCGGCTCGCATTCGCAGTTGGATCACGCTACTGTGCTGCCCGCTTGACAAAGCTCTGCTCACCAATCAACGAGCTAGGAAACACATGTTTCATCTCTTTGCGGACCCCCAGGATCCGTGATCTGAATGATGAGATCAACAAGTTGATCCGCGAGAAGGGGCACTGGGAGAAGCGCATCGTGCAGCTGGGGGGACCTGACTACGCCAAAACCGCTCCCAAGGTGACTCGGGCAACGTTGGGTGCGAACAGGCACCAGATCATGCAGGTGTTGATGCTTTTGTGCATGGGGTTGTATTGTGAAAGGCGAGGAGGTGTGCAGTTTGGAGGTCACACTCCTTGCGGGACAATGGCTGGTGCTGCCCGATTGGCTCAAGTTGGGCGCGGGTCACTTGTCAGTGCTCCGACGGAAGGTCCAGCAAGGCTCCGCGGCTGAGCTGAGGCTGCTGATGGTGACTTGGCAATCGCGTTCAGCAGCTGGATGAGTGCTGTGGGCAGGGCTTGGCAATGCCGCTCAACGACAAAGGACAATCGTTGAAAGCGCCAACGCACGCGCTGGTGATCATTCTTGCACCCGCTTCTGTTCCTAGACCTTTGTCATTGCTCCACCCCAACCCCATTTTTTCCTACTTTCAGATCACCGACTCAGAGGGCAACGCTGTCGAGGGCGCCTCTGGCGGGCGCGGCGGCGGGTACCGCTACTTTGGCGCGGCCAAGGCCCTTCCCGGCGTCAAGGAGCTGTTTGAGAAGGAGGCGCCCAAAATTGTCAGGAAGACGCGGTTCCAGATGCACAAGAGCATTACGCCGGACTACTACGGATTCAGAGACGAGGAGGACGGGGTGCTGGTCAAGGTGGAGGCGGTCGCGGAGAGGGCCATCCAGGCGCAGGTAGCTGAGCAGGGGTGTTGTGTGTGCACAAGCACGCGTGTGTGCGAATCTGTTTGTGTGTTTGTGTGTATGCACGTGTGCGTGTGCACACATAAAGCGTGTGCACACATAAATGCAAGCACTGCATGCGTGTGGGTTTTTGCCTGCCTGCATGATTATGAGAAGGCTGGCAGGATAAGCCGCCAATCGGCTGCTCGCAATGCTGCAGGCGTAAACCTTTCCTGGGAAGTAGCGGGGCCGGGCGCAGTCTTGTCGTGCATGCCTGCCAGTCAGCCGTCCCAGGCTCTCACAACGCGGCATCATGCAATTCAGAGCCGCCAACCCTTTGCTGAAACAAGTCGCAACGCCCCTCAACTTCCCCGACAATAGAAGCTCCGGGAATGGGAGGCGCGGGAGGCGGAGCGCGACGCTGCCCTGGCGGGCACGGCTGCCGGCGGCTCAGGCGTGGGCGTGGGCGCAGGCGCCAAGCAGCAGCGCAAGGGGCAGCTTGCAGGCGGCGGCGGCGGCGGAGGCGGCCTGGGTGGCGGAGGAGGGGCAGAAGAGGACGGCGGGACTCAGTTTGTGGCGTACGTCCCGTTGCCAGACCAGGCAGCAATCGAGCAGCGGATCCTAGAGAAGAAGGTGCGGGGAAGCTCATGGCGGTGGTCGGGGTGTGTGGCAACATGGTGGTGATGCCAGCCTAAAAGGGGGGGGACACCTCGCGCCTGTTCCGTTTGTATAGCATGCGCCTGCGTGCATGGAGCCCCCTCCCTTATCCATGGCTAAGCGGTTCAACTTTCCTGCAAGCAGCGACGGCCCCAACTCACCCCTGTATCCTTCCCTTGCGTGCACAACCGTTTTTACAAACCACAGAAGCAGGACCTTCTTGCCAAGTACACCAGCGATTCGCTGCTGCATCAACAGGAGGAGGCGCGAGCGCTGCTGAACAAGCGGTGATCTGGGACCTGGTGACCGTGGACACGACCATAGGTGGCCGCAACAGGGGCACATGCGCAGCCTGCGTCATCCTCAGTGTCTGAGATCACCAACTTTGCAGCTGTTGTGCTGAGTTGGCCCGTGGAGTCGTTGCGGCTCCACTTTCTACTTGGCATGTCCCTCGTGCTTTTTGCGTTGGCAAACGCCTTGCTTCCTCACGTCTTGGTATCGGCGTGGCTTGTAAGGTGCGAGTGTGGCTGAGTGCACCATAACGCGGCCGCCATTATTGCACACGGCTGTGTTTTGGTAGGGAAGTCTGCAGGCGCTGTGTGCAGCTGCACGACACGATTGCAGGATAGAGGGCGGACGTAGAGTTGGGTGGCGGGTGGGCTTGTCAGCTGTGCTGGACAGGGCTTGTGTATCTTGGCCATGACAGGTGGCACCAGCCAAGAAACCCCCACCAAGCATTTTCGCACTCTCTGCCTCTGAGCAGATGAGCAGTGTATGCACTCAACAAAATCTCCGGCAGCACACAAGCAGTGACTGAGGAGGACGCGTTCAAGTGGCGTGCAGAGGGGCTGGCCGCCACCGAAGACACCGCGCACGGCAGATGCCTAAAACAATGGTACGCACATAGCTGATCAGCATAGCTTCTGCACAGATGCCCAGCGACAGGTTCGCACGGTGGCGACAGTCACCACCACTACCATGGCGGGTGATACCACCACTGCCATGGCTACCTTCGGCGCCCTGTACCGTACAGCCATCAGTCTGCAAGGGCATACAAGAAATTACGTCTACGCAGTATACGGCATCCGCTGCTCCCAGAATGCTCTTGCTCGGCGATGCCTAGCGTCCTCCCATCCATTCTGTCGGTATACTCCAGGAAAACACAAAAGTACCGTAGTCTGTCGAGACAGGCCTTCAGCAGAGCTCCTGCTCAGATCAGTAGGCAGAGTCTTGCCGGAGGAGGGGCTTATCTGAACCCCTAAGTTGCTTCATGTTCTTGGCGGCTCGCCTATTGGCGAATGCGCTGAGCGGCGGTGGCAGCTCAGCAGTAGCCAGCGGGGCAGCAGCTCGAGCTGCGACGCCGCTGCCGCCTGCTGTAGTGCCGCTGCTGCTGCAGCGCCTGCAGGGGTGCAGCTTTTGCAGCTCAGCCGCCACACGCGCTGCAAATGCACCAGCAGAGCAGCAAGTTGCAGAGGGCCCCGCTATGCAGGCCCTGAGGCAGCTGGTGAGCACAGGGCAACAATGTGCGAGGCGTGGATGTCGCACTGGCCATCTCCCTCATCTCATGTGCAAGATCATCTCCTGTTGCTCTGTGTGTACTCCACACTCCATGCTCCCTCATACACACGCCCCTCCTCACAATTTGCAACCCCCACATCCAGCCCCCCGACCTCCGCCGCCGCGCCGCCGCTGCAAGCGGCGCGCTCCGCCGCGCGCCCCGGGCCGCCGCCGATGCGGCCCTCCTCCCCGCGCTCGCGGCCTCGTGGCGCGACCTCTACACCGTGATGGACCAGATGCATAAAAAGGACGTTCTCGGCGTCCCCCGGCCCCTCCTTGACGACCCCCCGCCGCGGCCCGCGGGCGGCGCCGCCGAGCCCGCGCCCGCGGCCCCTGGGTCTGGCACACAGCTGTTCTACCCGGTGCGCGACCTGGCGCGGCTGCCGGACCGGCCGGACCCCGGGCTGATCGGCAACCTGCAGGGGGCGTTCATGGGCAGCCCTGTAGCTTACGCGCAGCTGCTGCCCAACCACCTGGAGGTGTCCTATCAGGTGGGCCGCCGTGCCACGCCGTGCCGCACGCGCAGCTGCGGGACGGCGGGCGTGAGCAACACGTGTGCGGGTCGGGCGGCGGGACCAACCCCGCCCTGTACGGCTTATCGCCGCTGCTCCAACCGACGCGTGTGGAGTGAGCCGGATGGAGTCGCTCGAAGCGGAGCAGCAAGAGAAAGAATTGCAACCTATGGGGCCATCAAGCTCATGTGCAGCAAATCTCACTTCGCCGCTCACCTGCCAGGTGCTCTCAACGATCATGCTGTGGCCGCCGATGGAGGTGTTCCACCCCTTCTACGTGGACTACGAGCTGGCCGCCTCCCACCTCTCCGCCCTGCGGCGGCGGGCGCTGCGCTCGGGCACGCGGCGGCGGCGGCGGCCGCGGCGGGCGGTGGTCAGCGCGAAGGCGGGCGGGCTGACCCCGCGGAGCTCGTGAGCACGGACGGCCGCAGGGAATGGGGGTCACGGCTGCAAGCGCGGCGTGCGGGTGCGCGGCAGGCCCTGGTGTTATCTCTGGCAGTCCCCTGCCTCAGCTGCGGGCGGCGCAGCTGAGGTGGTTGCATGCACTTGCCCCAGAGCTTATCCCCTTTGGGAGTTTGTCTGCAGGCTGTGTTGTATTGGTAACCATATTCGATGCAACCAATAAAGTGGGAGCATTACATCCATGTGTGCTGCTCAGCTGTCCGCATGTGTGTATTTACAAGCCCAGGTGCGGCGCTCAGTGCCGGCGCGCACGGGTAGACCCTCTGTTTTTCTTGTTTTGATTCTTGGTAGCCTTCGCAGGCTTTGCACGTACAGATGCGGTAGAATGTGGCGGCGGCAACAGCGTTGCAACCTCCTGATGCCTGGCGCGAGGTCACCTCTCGAAAAAAATGCATGCGAGCCAGCAAGCAGTGGGCGTGCTCGCCCCCTGCCCTCTCTCTCTCTGCCTCTGAGCCTCTCTCGCTCAATTCGACAATCGAAAACAGCTGCCCCTCGCTCCTGTCAGCCAGCCATCCTCGAGGCGCGGGCCACAAGCGCAGGCGCTTGGCCCCAGCCCTCCACGCGGGTCATCGGCCCATTCAGAGGCAGCAGCCCAGAACGCGCCGTGAGCGCCCTCGCTAGAAGCGCGCCCAGCACCTGAATGACACAAAAGGCAAGGCAGGGTGCAAACCAAGATCTTCGCCTTCGGCAGCTGTAAAGAGAGGTTGAGGGCTCCACCCTGTGACATGTGGCAAGCTGCGGTGCGACCGCTCCTCCGCGCACTCTTACCCAGCCGCACCCTCTGCTGGCCGCCTGGGCAGGGGAGCCTGTCTGTCAGCCCGCACTCCCCCGCACACACCTTTGCTCTACCTCTCTCACGCGCACTCATACATGCATACAGGCACGCACTCACGCACGCGTATGCACCCCCCCAACCAACACACACACACACACACACACACACACACACACACACACACACACACACCTCATCGCACCTGTTGCACTCGCCAGCGCAGTCTCCCATGCAGTCAATCGTGTAGCCTAGCACCGCCGGCTGCCGCGCCACCGCCTTGGCCAGCACCTGCCCCTCCAGCTTCCAGTCCTGCTGGAGCTTTGCCAGGTTCCCCTTGAGGGCGTCGACGCTGCAACCAATCACCTCGGGAAACGCCTGAATGGGACAATGTCGGGGATGAGGCGGCGGCCAAAGCTAGTTCATGTGGTGTCTCAGGGCCGACCTGCGCAGCTTTGGGCCAAGGGGAGAGGGAGGCGCACACAGCGCGCGGGGAGAGCACGCAGAGTGCAGGGGCCCCCACATCCCAGGCGCAACTTGCGCAACCCTCGTAACCCCTCTGTCCACCCCTTCTCAGCGCCCCCTGCCCCCGCGACCCCCGGTACGGAGCCAGCACCCCATTTGTGATCTTGTCCGTCACCCGTCATGCCCCTCCAAACATGGCAGAGCCGTCTCCAGACTACCGCTACGCTTGTGTCGTCATACGATCTCAGAAGCGAGTTGCTGCCATGTTCACAGCACGCTGTCCCAACATCCCCGATGAGACTGCTGTATGTGACACCCACCTTGACCACGCGCGGCAGCTCAGCGTCTGACAGACCAACTTCCCGCAGCAGGCCAAGCGCCGCCGCCGCGCGTGCCGAGTCCGGCGCTTCCTCAACCTTTTCACGCCGCCAGTAGGCCTGCGCATGAGCGCAAGTTCGTGGATACGTGGCGTATTTGCACATTTTAATCGGCATCGGCTTGCGTGCCATGACGCTGGCTTGCACGCATGTGCCCTTGCGTTGTGAAGGGTGAGCTCTTGCGGCGAGCGAGCCTGGGTGATGCGGAGGGACCCACCCCTGCAAGCTGCAGCCGTTGCTATGCCTGTCGAGGGGCCCCTCCATTGAACAACCCAGCCTACAGGCCAATCGTACTTGTTGCCTTTGCCCCTTGGCGGTGCATCTGACACCCATCAACGTTTGTGCACGCTATTGCATTCCTCCCCAGCACCCGGCCCAGCCGATACGCACCTGTGTGCCCCACCCAAATGCCCGCGCAACAATGCGCTCTGCATCCGCATCCGCGAGGCCGATCGCCAACAGCTGCTGCACACACGCCGCCCACTCCTGCTGCTGCTCCGGGGACAGACGTTCAGTTGGCGGCCCGACAGGCGCCGCTTGCGGTGGGGGCGGGGCGAGGATCGTGACGGTGGTCTGGGGGGGGCTGGCGCCGAACGGCGACACAGCATCACCTGCCGCTCGACAGATGTTTACAGAGCTTCTCAGCTTCCGAGCCATGGGGGCGGCACGGGCTGCAGCTGCTCCGCAGGGTGCGCTTGCGCCTGCGCCTGGCGCCGCTGTGTGGTGCTGGTGCACTGCGCGCTGCGCCATTGCGAAAATGCGCTGCCCACGCAACTGCCAGCGCCTATGGTCGCGGTGGATAGGAGGTAGATCCAAGCCAAGTGACTACGCGCGACGAAAGTAGTTGCTGCGTAAATTAGCCCTGCCGGTCCGAGGTGGTGCGAAAGGTGAGTACTGTAGCCGGGCTTGACAAGACAAAAATGTGGATAACACTGATATGAAGACGAACGCGTGTTGCATCACGTAGGGGTGCCAGCCTGACAGGACGAGCTGCAACGCAAAGCGGCGGTACCCGCTGCCAGGCACTGTAGCAGCACTACCGACAGGTTTTCTTGTGCAGGGACCACAGACACTGCAAATTGCTCCCAGCCAGGGCAGTGCGCTTCGCTCGTGCCAGGTGGGAAAGTGTTTTACAGGATAAATTTAGGATGGCCACGTATCATCTTACTCCTGCGCCGTGCATGTGCAGTCCTACGACACAAGACTTCGCTCATTCACAGCATGTCATACTGCATGGGGCATGCAGCCAATCAACAAGCATCATATGGGGCAATCAAACTCAGACTTCAGTGGATTGTAGATTCAAGAGGTGCGGGAACGATAAAACCAGGGGTAATTAGCATTTTCATGTGTCGGCGATGGGTGCGGAAGACCCATTGGGGACGGTGGTTCTCAGGACCTGTAATCCCCTGGAAAACAAAGCATCACCACTATCGGTGCTAACAACCGTACTGACCGACACTTGCACGCAGGACATGTTTGGTTGACAGCATGCATGGTTGATTTTGATCAGTATAGTGTTGCCCGCAGGCGTGAGACTGTGATGTTTCATGACTACCGCGCAGGTGTGTAGGTGTATCAATATGTGCCGGTGGAAGGGATGCGGAGGGCAGGGATACCTCACTTGCTTTCTGCACACCGCTGCATGCCACAATTGCTGTGTGGGTGTCTACGGTGGTGGGCCAGTCACTATCTCTGTGCAGGGTATCGGCGTGCTCCTCACTGCATACATGCAACTTCGGTGATTTCTCTCATGTAATTAGCGCAACTGATGTGATTGCCAGTTGAGACTTTGGTTCGTCCGGCAGACGCTTGGGGCATGACTCACCGACTTTCCCCGGGGGGGCTCTTCTGGCCTCCCGGAATCGATTCTTGCGGAATGCCCCGCGACCTGAGCCAAAAGATGCGGCATATGATTCTAAGACTTTTAGGGACCTCGTAAAATCGCCAGAAAAATCCTGGGCCGAGCGCGGGGCCGCGCGGACGGTGCAGCCATGGCGACCCCGCGAAAGCACGCATGTATGGCCTCTAATACCGGTGAATAACAAACATTATATGTAACAACAAAATATGGGCCGATCATGAAGGCGATTGGCCCTGCCAGACGTGAGCAGGGCCCAGGTGTGGGCACCAAACCAGCACAAACCAGCCTGCCGGGCCTCTTCGGCGTCTCGAATGCCATACGTGTTCGTGTATGCATACTTTGCCGCGCTGCCACCCGGGCGCGGCGCCATATGCGGCCCGACAGCACCCCAGCATCGACAGCGTCATGGTCAAGCAACTCACACAGCAGCGGTTTTGACTCGCTTGACGAGCGCCGATGCAGAGCTGGTACGATTGCCTGGGATATGCACAAGGTTTCAGCATTCAGTGTAGCAAGGGGTACCATTGGAGCGGGTACGGCCGAGATACCCCAATCGCTTTACACATTGCTGCTTTCTATGTCTGCCGTGCGTGTGCGGTGTCTACAGTGGTGGACACTCTGGGGCGCCCCACCGCAATCGCCCTCGTTACTGCATGCATGTCATGGCGGGATTATCTGTCCCAGCAACTACATTAACGTCTCATTCAGCGCCCTCATGCCGGACCTATGCTCCTAAGATGATGGTACAAAAGCAATCTTGTACGGTATGTGCTTCTGTACCTGCTTCGCTGCTGCGTGCAGCGTGCTTCACCTGGCAGGATCGCACTGCAGGGCACTCTGCCAATAAAACGGTTCAAGGCGCACCCGGCTCCAAACGGGCCCCGAAAGTGTGGTGTGCTCTGCATCCGCCTCACCCGCACCACTGCTGTGGCCTGATGCAACGAAGCCACCTTGACACTACTTGACACCCTCAACTGGCCATCTCTATGGTTTGTACCGTTATTGCGCTCAGTCCAACGCACGCGGTGCCCTCCCAAGTGTCGCAACTCTGCAGCGGTCCTTTGGATTATTGGACCCGCTTCGAGATCAGTCTTCGTCCAAAGCTCTCCTCAACCAAGAAGTTTATTTCGTGCCATATCATTGCGCATCAACAGCTTTTGCAAGATGGCTGCACTCGCGCGCTCGGGATCGTCCATCACGCGGCCCTTTGCCGCCCCCCGAGTTTGCGTCAAGAGCCCGGTCGGACAGCTTAAACATGCGCAGCACTCCCGGCGCGAGCGGCTGGTGGCAAGGGCTGCAGGTGTGACGGCATGGCAGCACGTGTAGCATGCTGCGCATCCCCAGCACCCCGCTGTGCACTGGCCCTGAAAGCAGCAGGAGGAGTGCATCCAAGACTCCTCACCTGCCTGGAGCACCAGTTTGCCCGCATGCGCGGCCATCAGCTGCCACATGGACGCCTCTTTTCCCCTCGAGCGCAGCAGCGCAGCGTCAACTCCCCCGCCCCGACGCAGTTGCACCCGCCCCTCCCGCCCACACCCAGACACGGGCATGGCTCCTGAGCTCAAGGCGGCCATTGATGAGCTGATCAGCACCAACAAGATAGTGGTGTTCATGAAGGTGCGGGCGGGGATGGGGCCTGAGCTCGACAGTCGCCTTCGAACGACCTGGGACGAGTGCAGTTGTTTGGCGGCGGCATGGGGCATGCTGAGTGCATGGGCGGCAAGAGGGAGGAGAGGGCCGCAAGCAGACCAGCACGCCAACGCGGCACGCAGTGGGGTTGATGCGGCTCGCAGTTGCAGGGCGGCTGGCCGTGCACCACTGCATGCCGTGCCTCTGCACAACAGCCTCGGCGCGGCACGGACGCCATGCGCGCCATGCGTCAGGCACCGCTGTCCCCAGCGCGCGCCCCGCGCCCGCACGCCGCTCAACCTCCGCCGCGTGCGCCGGCTGGCCACGCAGGGCACGAAGCAGTTCCCGCAGTGCGGCTTCTCGAACACTGTTGTCCAGGTCAGCGACTGCGCATTGTGCGCCGCCACCAGCCTGCCATCCTCGTGGTCCGATCGCGTCCTGGCAAGCCCGCCTCTCGCGCACTCGGCTTCAATCACCTTGCCTCGTGTAGTATTCCCATGACTGATCTAGCGCCCCGCCGCCTCGACCCGCCCACCCGACTCTTTGTCCTGCCAACATCCCGACCTTCCCCCTTCCCGCCTCGGCCCTACCCTCAGATCCTGCGCGAGGTGGGCGCGCCCTTCGAGGCGGTCAACGTGCTGGAAGCCGAGGCCATCCGCAGCGGCATGAAGGAGTACAGCGCCTGGCCCACCTTCCCGCAGGCGAGGGGGCCCGCTGGCGGGCCGCAGCGCACCGAGGGGCGGGCTGGCGGGCCGCAGCACACTGAGGGGCCGGCTGCCAGCCTGTTGGCTGGGGTGCGGACTAGTCGGCTGGGGGCTGGGGCCGGCGACCATCAGTAGAGTCGGCTGCGAGTGGCCCCGGCTGCTGCCAGCCGCACCTATTGTGGCCACAGCCTTTTCGCCCTCTTGCTCTGCAGTGACGCGTGTCTGCTCATCCATTTCGCTTCGTGCACAAACCCACCAGCAGGTATATGTCGACGGTGAATTCTATGGCGGCTGCGACATTATGATTGGTGAGGGGCCTGGCCTCGCTGGGCAGCTGCTTGGCAGTGGTATGTGCTGCACACGCGCGTGCATGTGTGGGCGCGTGCTACAAGCGTGAGCAAATGGGCTTCCGTCTGGGCCTCACTGCTAGGCCGCTCGCCGCGGCGGGCGACGGCCGGCCGCGCCAGGGTCGGGGCCGGCGCGCGGCCTTTCGGCGGTGCTGCGCCTGCGCCCGCGCACCCACGACGCCGCCTGCGTGTGTGGCCTGCCAAATTGCAGAGGCGTACCAGTCTGGAGAGCTCAGGGAGACCGTCGAGAGGATTATGAACGAGTGACCCCCGCAGAAGCAAACGGCGTGACACCTGGCGTTGCTGCCGCGCTATGCTCAACAAGAAGGGCACCACGCGGACACTGCTGCCCCACCCTGTGACACTGTCGTTCTGGTCTGGGCGCCCCGCCTAGGTGGCGCGAAGCTGACTTAGCTCATCCGGTGTGCTGCAGGAGAGCGCGATTGCGCGCGGGTCCCGGACTGTGTGGCAGGCGCCCATTGCGTTCTGGGCACAATTGCGCCTGCGAAGCTGGTGTTTAGCGGCGTCGGCAGGTGTGTGTCATGTTGCGTGTGTCGTGCTTGGCCGGCTGCTGCATGCTCGTGTTTCCTCGGTCGCACCAGCAGGCCTGCTGTGATGCAAGCCTGTGCTTGGACTGTTGTCTGGTTGATTGCGTGTAGGTTTGGGAGATGTATGGACCACCTTGCCAGGAGGGAGAGGGGCTTGGCTTCCCCTTGGAACCGGCCGCCCCTTGAGCGCCAACGAATCCACCTGTAAACCCTTATGTAACAACTTCTTGGAGTGCTGCTTGTGCGCCTGGCCTGGGGGCAAAGCGGTGGCGCGGCTGCACTAGGGGCGAATGGGGCGGACTGTCGTCGTGAGGGCCTTGCTTATGCAGCGATAGGGCACGCTCTTTGCATTCTTGTCCACTCACGGGCTCCCCCGTTATCGCAGGCAGGGTGGCTCTGTATTCACGATGACCATGTTGTCCTTCCGCTGCGTCTGTTAAAACGCTTTGAGGGAGGTGGCGCGCGTCAGTCGCTGGCCCCAGACCAACAGTTGCTGGCAACATCGGCAGCAGCCCCTTGCAGCAAAAAATAGCCCCGGGGTCTGTTGGGCGAAAACCCACAGGTCTGAGCTGCCGCCTGGGACCGCTGCCCAGCGCGTGAAGCCTCATGACGGTGCACACGGCTCCCAGCGCGGTCGCTCGAGGGCCCAGCAGTGGCAAATTACTTTGAATGTGTTGACAGGGGAAAGCGGCTGAACCAACATGGCCGCCACTTGACGGAGCGGGACTGCCGCCGGGTGGCGGCGCGGGCAAGAAAGGGAGGAGAGCCGCTGCAGCATCGCACAGAGCATGCTTCAATGACGGAAGGCAGGAGCAAAGGGGGCCGCAGGCTAGGGCAGCAAATTGCACTTAACCAGGGTTGTGAGGCTGGTTCGCAGAGCAGGGAAAGGATTGCTATGCATGCCGACGTGTGAACGAATGCGACAGGCTGTGGGTGTGGGTGCGGGTTTGTGTAACGGCACGTACCTGTGCGCAAGCCCAAGCATGGAGTAGTTGATGGGAATGCGCAAGCACGCACGAGAAGGCATCATGTGAACTTGTGAAGCCATAACTCCCAAGATCCAGGTGTAACTCCGGCTTCAAGAAGATGGGCAATGCAATGCCGCTAGCTGTGGGCAAAATCAAAACGTGCGAATCGTGCTTGAGTGGTGCACTGCGCAAGGTGACAAAACCGCATGGCCGCCTCGCAGTCAAGCCGTCGTCGTGGCACAAAAGTGACGCACACAAATCAGCAATGATTGTAGGGATGGGCATGCCTTCCATAAAGCAAGCAGAGCGGATCGTGCAGCAGGAGTGCAGTCAGGGGCTTGTGTGCACAACATGCCGTGGAGACTGTTGAACGCGCGGATCTTTCTTCAGCAGGCAGTGCCATGCAAGGCAACCCGGCCGGCGCATATAAGTGTGTGCTAGAAAACAACATAACGAAAGCCCCGGCAGAAGGCAGTCGTGCTATGAAGGTAAACCGCCAACAGAGTAATCGCCGCCTGGTGCGACGCAAAGCCCAAAGTGGCCAGGCAATCACGATGCTTAGAGCGGGCAGTACCCACGCGCCGGGCAGCGCGGCGAGTCTGCTGGGGGAGGCGTCTCAGCGCGTAGCTTGGGGGCCAGAGCCGCTGGCCGCCCAACAATTAGATGGGAGGCTGGCGGTTTGCGGCGAAATGCATGCATCACAAAGGAGGCTGGGGGATGGGCAATGTGAGAGGCGCCTGCCGAGTTTGGAGCTGCTGAAATTGGTGACTTAACTGAGCGATTTGCAGCACCTGCCTGCTACCTTGATGCTGCTGCATCGGCAACTCGTGCTGCTGAACTGCGTATGTCGCCGCCAGCTGAGGCGGCTGCTGGCCCTGGGGTAGTGAAAATAGGTGCCTGTGGGGTAGTGCGGAAGGGGACCCCTGCTGCAGCGGCATCTGCTGCCCGCTGCGATAACTGCTGAGGCTGCCAAGCTGCAGTGCCGGCTGTCCAAAGCTACCTAGAAAGATGGTCCCGCCTGCATCGCTCGGTGCGCCGACGTGCCCGCTGCTGCCTACAGCCGACTGCCACAGACCCAAAGCGCGGATTCCGGGAAGGCCTTGCAAATCGGTAGCACTGCCGCCTTGCTCGCTCCCGCCGCCCGCCCCAACTTGTGCGCCAGGGCGGTGTCCCAGCACGAGCCCCTGCTGGCCACTGAGCGCCTGCGGCTGCATTAAGATGTGGCCGTTCACGCCGGTTGCTTGGCCGCTGCCGCTCATCAGCCCTGGCTGCACGGCCACAGCACCGCCCGCCAGCAGCAGCATCCCCATGTGCGACGCGCCCGGCGCGGCTGCGCCGCCGCCGCAGCTGCGGCCGGCCGCGGGCGCCCAGCCGTGCTCGTTCAGCGCCACGCCGACGCGCGACGCGGTGAAGCGCTGCGCAGCGTTGCGCTGGGACGCGCCGGTGCCCCAGCACAGCTCCGCCGGCGGGAGGCCGGGGGGCAGCGGGCGCAGCTCGGCGACTGAGTGCGCGAAGAAGCACACAGGGCGCGCGCAGGACTGGCCGTGCTGGCAGATCTCGGTGCGGAACCTGGAAACGGGGTGAGAGGAGGGGTAGGTGAGCAATGCGTGAGGTGATCAAAAGCAAAGGCTCAAGGGATGTTGCGCGCTGTGGGGCAACTCAAGGAAGTGGCGCTGCTGACAGAACCCTGGTTGTGCTTGGTAGGTGCCCTGTGTGCTGCGAAAGACGGTGGAGAAGGGCAGATGAGAGAGTCCGCGGCGCGGCAAAGCACGGGGTCACTCCAGGTCGCACTGTGCGTGTCCGGTCACCTGTCTGGATGGAGCCTGCAGAGCGGCACGGCAAGAGGGCGGGCAAGGAGTCAATCCATCGGCGCATGGGGGAGAGTCAGGGGCCTGCTGGCAGGCGCGGGGGCAGAGGGCGCTCGCCGGCGGAGGATCCTCTTGCACTCGACCCTGCGGCCCTGGCTCCCACCAGTACTCTCACTTATGGGCGTGCTCGGAAGCCTGGACCCTGAACTGTAACCCCGAAACCCTGGCTCTCACCAGTACTCGTAGAGGTTGTGGGCGTTCATGCAATTCGCGCCGTCGGGGCAGGGGACACGCTGCAGGCAGGTGGAGCATGTGTGTGTGTGTGTGTGTACGCGCGTGTGTGTGTGTGTGCAATGCTCAAGCACAGGGCCCTGTCGCCTGCAAGTTTTGCGTATGCAGCCCGCCACACCCATCGTCGCACCCTCTTTGCCTGGCGAGCTCTTCACATTTCACCTCAAGCCATCATTCCCGGATCTCGTCCCCTAAGCGCCATCCCCGCCCCCCAAAAAGGCCCCAGCAACGCACCCGCTTGGCGTAGGCACACGCGACGGAGCGGTAGCCCGCCGTCCGGGGACATCTGCGCGCGGCGCGCTCACCGGGGTGGCCGCATGGGCACGCCGCCCAGTCGTGGGCAAACTGGGGACCGGCGGGTGTCAGTGCGGTGCAGGGCGAGGCGGGCAGCTGTGTTAGAGAGCGTCGCGGGCGATGGCTGGACTAGCGTGCGTGCCGTTGAACGGCCAACTGATGCGGCTCCTAAAGCCCGCTTGACGCGCCTGATGAGCCCCTGCTTTCTGCACTGGCAGGTCGGGGGTTGAGTGGATGGGGGCGCCCCTTCTGCGCACCACCTCCCTCTGGCGGCATGCTTATACAGGCACGGGCCGGCAATCGGGTGCTGCCAAACTCGCCTGCTTGGTGCAGGGGTCGACCTGCGAGCAGCACAAGCCAGTGGCTGTGAGGCAGCAACACAGTGAGGCAGTACACAGTGCTGGTGCTAACAAGCTGTGGGCAGGCTTGGACCCGCTGAATCGTCAAGGTATCGCACATCAGCTCTCTTGCCTTGTAATTGAAGCACAAAATAAGGGGATCCATACGAGCGGGGGCCCCCGTTAGATCTGGGGTCCCCCCGACCCCCGCGAGCGGCATCCCCTCAAGCATGTTAGAGTTTGCTCTGTTGACAAACGTTACGCATGGTGTGATTGTTGAAGCCAAGAAATGCTGGCCGAGCAACCACCGACCCGATCCGAAAATATTGATGAAAAGTGTAAACGATAGAAAGAAATGGAACACAAATAATCTTGCAGGCAGCAACGAGCGAACAATGATACAGGATGGCGCGTACCGTAGCGGCCCTGGCGTTGCAGATACTGCACACCACGAGTGGAGGTGCACACAGCAGGCCAGGCCCCCTGCGCGAGGCGAGCAGCGGAGGGTACGAAGCGCATGGTGTATCCCTGCCCATACCCGTTCCAATGGGTATCCCATGACACACCAAAGAAGTGCCTCGTCATATTGTTCTGGCGATACTAGCATGCGGAGGGCGACGAGGTGGTGGTGATTTCCAGAGCTGCTGAGCAGTGCTGTTGTGGGTCGTGTATGATGTTATAGGCCCTTAAAGCTCATCATGAAGGGGACGAGGGGCAAGTCATTGTCATGTCTATATTCTTGAGCTTTCATCTGTTGTTTAGGATACTGACCTGCTGCTTGGCACCTGACATTCCATCCAACCCGTTACTAATGGCCACCCTGTGTTGGATTGGCAGCCTGCCCTTTCTGAGTGCCTGTCTTGGGGAACACTATGTTGGTGGACCAGGAACGCTGGTGCATGGTCAGAATGTGGTCCTGTCTGCTCGTTACCACAAGTCTGTTTTGCATTTATGGGGGCCTCGCCGCTCATCAGCCCCCCCGACCAGCAGCCCGCTTCGACCGGTCCAATGCACGGTGGCATCTGCACGCTGCCAAGCTGTGTGGGGTCTAACAGTGATACATAAACTAGTATATGCTGATTCGTTCCTGCCTCAGGTTACCGCTGTCACCCAGTACACATGCCAGCGCCATGAGCGCGCAGACAGCCTTCTGGCTGGCCAATACGCCTGAATCGTGTGTGCGCAGAGGCACACCTTGATTTGGCAGGGCCGCAGTTCTCATCAACGTTCCCACCCCAATATCATTTGCAAATATCCTTGCTAACAACACTATCAACTGAAAGGTGCTGATACACTTGCCAGCCTGGCGGATTAAACTTTGTTAGAAAGTTGGCTCAGACTTGGTTTGGTTTGGTAGGTGGTAAATTGCTGTGCGATTTTGATCAAGGTATGATAGTGATCCTTTGCTGGCGCAGTTTGGAAGGGCACTCACTGCCACCCTTCGAATCAGGACGAGTGAGGTCCCTACATCAACCCCTCCCGCCGCTTCTGATCATTCTCAAACACACCCCCAAGGGTGGTAACGGCTTCTCTCATTTGTAAGACGGCAGAGCCAAGCAAAGAAATTGCAACACAGCATAAGCGAGCATTCAAATTCTTTTGTTGGAGTTTACAAGCGGGTGTAGCGAAGCGTTGCAACAACCCCTGACGATTGTCGTGTGCTGGGCATTCACGTATTCACACCTGCTTGCCACCAAGCCGCCGGCCGGTATCAATGCATCCTGCCGGATGATTTTGTTGTCAAGGTATGAAATCAGCATTATAAGCAACTTGTTGCTAAGGTCCAATCACGAAGTCACACAGAAGCACAAAGCATGTGATGAAATGATGCTAGACCGCGCCAACGCTGGGTGGTGACGCAAGCTGGCTAACCGCGGACCCAATGCAAAGAAACTAGGGGACACCCACAGACCCTTCTGGGAGTCCCCGCATGAGCACACACCTGTGAGGGCACGGAAAGAAGACGAAGCAGCCGCGCACCTCAGTGCTCCAGCCGTCTGCCTGGAATGTGGAGGCCCCCCGCCCCCGTCCGGGGCGAACAGGGCAGTGCGCAGTGCGAGTGTGCAAAGCCTAACAGCCGTTGGCGCGGTCAATAAATATCCCCTAACTCCCACACCAAGCATCTAAAATGAGCCTTGACAAGCGTCGGACGCCGTCATACGCACACTGGGTGGTGTTGTTGGATGTGTCCGAAGGATGCCTTGGTACTTTGGTAGCACCCGCAGGTTGTTCAGTTGCGCGCACCCCGTGACCTGTTCGTTTATCATACAACATGCGACCTATAGTATGATCAATATATTCAAGCTTGTCCTGAACGAATTTTCACGTCGTTGCTGTATACGTCGTTGCTGTAATATCGTCGTTGCTGAGATCGGGGGGTGCGGCTCCTGAGCTCAGCCGCCTACGCATGACTGCCAAGAAATGCAGAGTCATCGATGTTATATCACGTTCTTTGCAATTTTGATGTTGATTGGCGCAGCCATTCTTGCCCTGCTCCCCGACCAGCACCGCTTGCTCGTGCGGTATCCGGTCACTTTGAAGCTCAACCACCTGGGGAGCAGCGGGCTTCCCTCAACAGCGGCTTCTCAGTGCTCCAAGCTGCTGAGCTGCTTGTCAGACGGCGGCTGGCTGGCGGGGGAGTGGTATTCCTTCTCCCCAGAATGCACTGCGCTGATGCGGCCGGCGGGCCCGATCAGATCCCACACGCTGCTCCTGGGCGACAGTGTCGACCGCTATCTGGTGGACGACTTCTGCAGCGGCCTGAACTCCTCAACGTCAAACTCGTCACTCGCAAAACTATATGACTGGACAGACGGGGTGTTCTTCTACAAGACTGGTGCGTCGGCGGCGGCAGTGTGCGACGTCATCCAAGCCAATGCCAGCGTCGGCTCCTTGGCCTTTGTCCACCTGTACGGCTCCCAGCCGCACGGGCCGTACCTGCACGGGCACGTCAACAACGCGCAGGACCCCTACACAGACACGGCCCTGCGGATACCAAAGGCACTGGAGCAGTACCAGCGGAGGTTCCAGCGGCTGCCAGACCTGATTGTCTACCAGGCGGCCCTCTGGGACGTGGTCAAGCTCGAGATGCCCGCAAACCTCAACCTCACGGCGCCGCTGCTCGAAACGTACGTCTCGGACGTGCGCCAAACAGTCGCAAACTTGACGGAGCGGTACCCGGGCGCGACGCTCATGCTGCGCACGACGCCCGGCCTGGTGGGCGCGGCGTACCTGTCACAGGGCCGCGCGCTGCACATGTACAACGCAGCGCTTCGCCATGTCGCGCGCGAGCGCGGCCTGGTGCTGCTGGATTGGGCGGCCATGAATTCCGGCATTGCTGACTTTCTCCGCGACAGGATGCACCCTGACGCGAAGCACAGCAGATTCTTTGCCAATGTCATTGTATCCGTTGCTGACCACTGCACTCAATGAGCCAGCTCGTTCGCGTTCACGCACAATGTGCGCACAAGCGTGAACACACACACACACACACACACACGCACACACACAAACAAGAATTCACAGGCTCTCACCCCACACACCCACACAAAAAAGACATGCCAGCCACTTGCGTCTGTGCGCAGCCCACCCCAGGCAGCCTTGCGCCCTTACACCAGTCTTTCTTGCTCAGCACTGCCTAACACATGGTCTTCAAGTCTGGATTTTCACAAATCCCTATCCTGCTCATCACTCGCCAACAGGACATACTGTCCAAGATGAGCTCTTGATAAGTTTCTGCCTCTCTTGTAACCAATCACTACATTTCAACTGGCCAGGCGCTGCACGCTCTGCAATTGCAGTTGGGTTGCATCATGGGCTGCTAGTCTGCAAGCTTGCTTGGCACTGACATGCGTCGGCTGACATCCGGCTTACTGCATTTGAAGTGATGAAACTTCGCAGTCGTAGCAACAGAACAAGTCAAGTTGGGATCTGCAGCAGCTGCAGTGGTTTCGACCGTCACCCATGAGGGCTTTGGAAGTGCACAGCTGTGGGGTTCGGTACCCGTTCTTGGCTGCACGACGCAGAAGCCGCCGGATACTGTGCCTCGCGCGGCCGCCTTTCATACAGCACCAGCGTCGCATCACAGGCCAACACCTGCTGCAACCCGACACGTACGACGCTCGTATCAGAAATGCGCACCCAGCTGCCGGCGCCATCCAAAATTCTTCCTGGGTGCCGCTCCAGCGGTGGCTGTGCCTCGGCGCTCGCTCTGTGCTGCAGCGACCCCAGGTTGTTAGGGAAGCGGCCAACTGCCAACTCGCGGCCAATTCCTTTCGAGGGAATTGAGGAACTGTCGCTGCCAATGGCACGGCCGTCAACGTCCGTCGCTGCGCCCGCGCCGCCGTCGCCGGCCGTGCGGCAGCCGCCGCCGCCCGCCGCGGCCGCAGCGCCCGGCGGCGTCAGGCGGCGGTACACCACGTAGTGCCCTGACGAGCTGCTGGCACCCAAGTGCTGCACAACCGCGGTCAGGTCATACAGCAGCCCCTCGTCCCCGCCCCACTCAAAGCCACCCGGGCCGCCGGCGCCCACACCACCGGGCGCGCCGCCCATGGCGCCAGGCGCGGCGACGGCGGCCCTGTGCCTCCAAGGAGGGGCCGGCCCGAACGGCATGTCTGAGCTGCCGCAGTTGCGGGAGTCACCGCTGGCGCCGCAGGCCGCGTCCCGTGCGCCCATCACAAAAGGAAACAGGTCGAATTCCAAAGGGAACGCCACGTGCCCTTGGAGCTTGGTTTGCCCGCCTGGCATCCCACACGCGCGCTGGAGGTGCAGCGCCAGCACTGGCGGCGCCCGCCCAACGCGGCAGCGCTTGGCGACGCGGCGCCGCCGCGGCACCCACCGCGCAGCGGCGGCGGCGGCGGCGCTGGGGAGGTCGAGGGGCGGCAGGGGGCCGCTGCAGAGCGAGAGCTCCCTAAGCCAAGATATGCCCACCTGCGGCGCCCAGCTGCCTGCATGCCCCAATTCAGCATGATCCTTGCAGGGGCTCTGCTCTCGCTGCTGCCGCAGCAGTTGCTGTTGCAGATGCTGCAGCTGCTGCTGCTGCTGCTGCTGCTGCTGCTGCTGCTGCTGCTCCTGCAGTTGCTGCTGCTGCTGCGGGCCTTCCAGGTGCACGCGGACCGCTTCAGCCGAGGCTGCCGCCGCCGCCGGCGCTGCCGTGGCGGCCTCGACGCTGGCCTTGAGGCCGCACCGCGCGCACTCGACGCCCGACAGCACCTCGTCCCTGCAGTAGCGCCGCAGGCACCCTGCGAGGTCAGCACCAGGCGCGACGCGCGGGCCGTCCGCGGGGCCGCGGCGCGGCGCGGGCGGCAGGGGCAGGTGCAGCACAAAGAAAGGGCTCCACGAGCTGACGAAGCTGCAGGGAAGTTGCCAAAGGGGGTGCCCAGGCCAAGAGGGAGGAGGTGGGGGCAGTCAGGGGTGCCTGGCAGAACACAGGTCTGGGGTATAACCTGCGGCGGAAGGAGCTGTGTGCTCCTGCACCCAGCTGCTGGCTGCGCAGGACTCAACCGGGCGGCACGCAGCTGTGTGGCAGGAAGGCATGTGGCCGCAAAGCGCAGGCCCCAGGTTCGTGTCGCGGGGAGCTTCAGGTCGGGTCGCGCGGGCTGCGCGCGCACCTATGGAATGCGCTCACCTGGAACCGCACGTAAGGCATAGGATCTCGTCCACCGCCCAGCCCCTCAGCGGCAGCGCCCCGTCGCGACCGCCGCCGCCGTCACCGTTGGCACCCGCAACCCTGCCGTTGCCGGCCCCGCCGCTGCGGCAGCCGCCCCCGCCGCCCCCGCCTCCGCCGCCGCCGATGGTGTGCTTGCCAGTCTCATCAGTGAGGGCCCCCAGGCCCGGCGGCCGCCGCGCAGCGCTGCAAAGCCGCGCCCAGCCTTCGTTCTCCAGCGCCACGGCGTTACAAAGGGCCTGAGGGTGGCGTTGGGGGGTGGGGCGAGGGGAGGGGGTGTGAGGTCGAGGGGGACCAAGTGAGGCACAGCCAAGCGGGGCGCCAGGGCCCGCAGCCAGAAATGCCCGACGCCTCGCCGCTGCGGGTGCCGCGCACCGCCCGCGTGGGCTGCGTCTCATGCACGAGAATTGCGTCAAGCCGGCGTGCCAGACCTCAGCCTGCTAATTTGTCCATATCGTCCTGCTGTATGCTAGTGCGTCGACAAACGTTCGAGCATTGCCACCTGCCAGTGGCAGCTAAGGACGCGCGACGAAGGGCTCCGCATCAGCCTGCCAGCCGAGGCAATGGCCCCACACCCCTGTCACAGCAGGTTCCATGCCCCAGGGCGCACCCAGGCCCACCTCGAGCGCCTCTGACGCGTCGTGCTGCCCGCCCCAGTCCATGCCGCAGGCTGCGACGTGTGGGGCCAGCGCCACCCTCACCCCCGACGGGTCCACCGGCGCCGACCGCGGGCCGGCCGCGGGCGCAGGAGCGGGAGCGAGGCACGCGGCGTTGGCGGCTCTGCCGCCGGGGGCGCGGCGGGGCTGGAGGGCGCGGAGGCAGGCGCGCAACTGGCGCGAGAGGCGGCGGTCGGCGCCGCAGTCGGGCCTGTCGGTGCTGATGCCTGTGGGAGCGTCAGCAGGCGCAGTAGGATGTCGATGGATGTTTTGCATTGCAAAAGCGGGATGGGTGGTGCGGTGGGGGTGCGCTGTAGTCGCCCCACACACTGCTGTCCAGCGAGTGGCTGAGGAGGGCACCGTTTGCAACGTGGCCTGGTTGGGCGATGCCCGCGCACACACCATTCAACAAGGACTGCACAGCGGCCCTTCCAGCCGCGACGACGGCGCCCAGCCAGCCGTGCAGAAAGCTTTCAGCAAGTTGTGCCTCCCGTCGACAGCCGCCGAATGCCGTAGGCGAGGCAAAGCCGCCGCACACACGCGCCATTGCAGTACGACTTGGCGCTGGCACTGCATAATCGCCCTGCGCCTCCAGGTGCTGGAGCACGAGGGGCGAGCTCGCAAGCACCTGCAGACAGACGTTTTGTACACAGTATACGCATTCATTGGACCTTGGACATGTGCTGTTCTACGAGATCGTTTTGCTTTCACCCACCTGCAAAGCCGAATTCAGAAAACATGTGTTGCCTAGGTTCTTGAGGCCGGAGACACTCCACTCCTGATCGGCCCCATCTTCCATCATGGGCGCAGTGCGCCGCCCCCTCCAAACTCAGTTCCAGTTGTATGATACTGGACCCGCCATGGTTCAGCGCAGCTTACAGTCACACGATCTGCTGCATCACTGTTTTGGGAGTTATCATACGATTTTCCTTCTGGCGTGTGTTGAGGCACAAGTGGCGCATTCCTGCGCACTGCCCTTGTGACTGCCACACCACAAGAAAGGTTGCGGTCGATAGCTGGATTTGGGGGCGACATACAGGGGGCGGCGGGGGGTTTTCGGCGAGGGGATTCGAAGGGCTGGCAGGGGTCTTACATGCTCTCGTGTGGCATGATGGCGGGATGGATGGTAGATTAGGCTGCCTGTATGCATGCTCCCATGGCGCACCAGCCAGAGTGGTTGCCCTGGGTGACTGTCGCAGCTGCAGCTGGGGGTCGATGGTCATGGGTTTCGTCGGTGGCCTTTGTTTCCAACCCGCGCAGCTGCGCCAGGCAGCAGTATGATCAAAGGGACTGGGGTGTGCTTGCATACGTATCCCCTGGCCGCCCGCTGCTCGCTTGCTTCTCGTGTGCAGGCTGCGCCTGGCCAGACCATGGCTTATCTGTACAGCAAAATGGGGGGCCTGCCCGGCTTCTTGGGCGTGCCCCCGGCGTCCGTCTTCGCTGTGGCTGAGATCTTTGGAGACCACCCCTTGCAGCTCGGGCGGCTCGGCAGCGCGTGGTGGTGACGAGTCACCGCCAGGTCACCGCCAGTGCCTGCGCCGCCGTAGTGGGGGTTTGTCGCGCGTGCTCCGGGCCGCGACGCATCCCTTGGCCACTGCCTGAGTGGGGCCTCTGATGATGCGTCGCACATGGCGTCGACGCCTGCTCGCCATTCGCTCGGCTGGAGTGAGCGCTGCTGCTTGGGTGACGCCTGCAGCGGCGGCGGGGCCTGTTGGTGACCATGGCCGCGTTGCCGCTGGTGAGTTCTCGGCAGTCCGGCCACCAGCCCGCGCCAGGGTCGGCGTCGCTCCAGGAGCGGCGTTGCCTGTGGTCAGCAGCGGCGCTCCTGGGTCTGGCCACTTAATGGCGATGTTGCAATGTCAGCAGCTGGGGTTTGAAGGGCGCGCGGACCTGCGCAACGCGATTGTAGCTGGGCGTGGTGGGGCTCGCAGCAGTGCCGTTCTGGCCGCGTCCTTCGCGGCCTCTGTAGCCGCGGGTGCGGCCCTCGCTGCCGCTGAAGCGCGCGGCGGTGGCCATCGTTCAGGTTGCGGGCTTGGCTGAGATATATCCTGGAGGATGCGGCTGAGGATGGCAGCGGTCTTGGTGGCGACATGCAAATGACAGACCTTGAC